GACTCACTAGCGATATTGCAACAACCCCTCCCTCCAAGTTCCCTCTCCATGGGCCACTGCAAGAATTCATTTTCATTGAGGGAAGTGTCCCGTTGGAAGACAACCGTTTGAAAGTCCGGAACTGTGCCAGAACACTAGTCCTGGGAATTCGATGCTGCGAATCACCGCTACTGTTGCGTCTCGGCGATCCTGAATCGTGCCAGAACACGAATCCTTGAATTTCAGAACCGCGAATCGACGAGACTCTTGCGCCCTGGCATTCCGACGTTGTTACAACGAACTCTTCCCTGACGTTAGCGATGAGAACCATTGAAGCTGCTGCAGACTCTGAAGACGAATGTGCGCGGCGCTGAGGCGGGGACCACGTGTTGAAACCAGCATGCCATCCATCAGCGACATCGTAGGATGTTTTACGGCCGATGCGCGCGGCGCCGAGGCGAGAGCCCGATCTCGAGAAGCACCCGCCCTCCGCCCGCGGAGCTCCTGCAGCTCTTTCGAGGGAGTGCGCGCGGCGCCGAGGCGGGAGCCACACGTCGAAAACCACCCGCCCTCCATCCGTGACAGTCTCGCCGGGTTCAGAGACGAATGTGTGCAGCTCTACGGCGAGAGCCTCATTCTGAAAGCCACCCGCCCTCCATCCGTGAAGCTCTTGCAGTTTTTTTTGAAAAAAAAGCGAATACGCGCGGCGCTAAGGGGAAAGCCACATTTTGACAGCTACTCCAGATTTCGTAATAAAAGGGAGGGGGTCTGGACCCTCCAAGACGAGCCATTTCAGACCTCCCCCGTGGGAGAACCCTCCAAAACATCGTCCCCAGACCCCCCAGGCCCTCCAAGATAGCCTGGAAGAGACCCCCCCCGAAATGAGACCCCCCTCCCTTTATTACGAAATCTGGAGTACCCGCCCACCAGTCGGGGAACATGTGCGCAAATTTCAAGTTTCAGGACTGTAAACGGTGAGGCAGTCTGAGACGAGATGCCTCACCCACCCTTTAGACTGGCCTCGGGGTGCGACAGGGAGACGTTATTTAGAAGGACGAGGGATTAAGGAGGATGAGAGAACAAGCTTTTGGGGCGAAGTAGGGGCTCAATTACCTATGTAGCGCTCCCCTTGTAGGTAGTCCGTGGCGGGGACTTCCCCATAACCACCGCTTGGGTAATCGATATTCGGGGAATTCGGCAGTCGGTGGATATTATTTACATCTTGGCCCCCAGGGGGCCAACATATATCCACATCCAGCTCCCGCTGGAGTACCACGACATTGGCCCCCAGGTAGCGAATATGGATGGATCCCCGCCTCGCAGAACTTGGCTGTGTCGTTGGGGTACGCCTTCGGTGGTGGCACCCGAGCGACACAGAAAACTTGGTTCGATTGCGCGGGCATTCGCCCGCAAGCTGCCCGCGTAAGGTCGCGCGTGAGCGCCATCTTCTCGACGTGGATTGCCACGCTGGCGGCCCGCATAAGCCACCGTGTGAGAACGCCATGCCTCGGCCGCGAGCGGGGGGGGAAAGAGAGAAGGAGACGGCCTTCTCAGAAGGCGGCGGGGCTTCTCAGAAGCCCTCCGGCCCTCTGAGAAGTTCTTGTCTGCGTCTTCGGGGAAGGGCGCAGAACATTTCTCGGATGGCTGGGGGACTTCCGAGCCTTCTGAGACGGCCCACCCCCCTTCTCGCTTCCCCCCTGGGCTCGCGAGAAAGCCGCGGAGGCCACCTCTTCCTGCGGCCTCCCTCGAGCAAGAAAGAAGCTTCCCTCCTCCTCCTCCTCCTCCTCCTCCTCCTCCTCCTCCTCGCCTCCTCCTCCTCCTCCTCCTCCTCCTCCTCCTCCTCCTCCTCCTCCTCCTCCTCCTCCTCCTCCTCCTCCTCCCCCTCCTCCTCCTATGCCATCTCGCGCAAGGCCCGCTTCCTGTCGCCGCTCACCTGCGAGCCGCTCGGGTCACGGTCGGGGCCTGCGGGCGCGCACAGCGGGCAGCGGCCCGCGGCCGCGACCGCGCGCCGGCACGGCGAGGCCGAAGTGGTGGCGGCGAGCTCCCTGCGCCGCGCCACCGCGCGGCAGCCGCCGACGCTTCTCGGGCGAAGGCGGCCGCAGGTCGGAGGCAGGGGCGCGGCGACCCGAAGGGCACGAGGTTGCGCGGCGCTCGGCGGTTCGGCGCCGATTCCTCCTCGTCGTCCTCCTCCTCCTTCTCCCCCTCCTCCTCCTCCTCCCCCTCCTTCTCCTCCTCCTCCTCCTCCTCCTCCTCCTCCTCCTCCTCCTCCTCCTCCTCCTCCTCCTCCTCCCCTGGGGGTTCGGCGGGCAGCGCGAGGGCGCGCACAGTGATTCGCGCCGCGCGCCGCGCGGGCAGCGCGAAGTTATGGGCGCCCCCTCGCGCAGGTGGAGGCGGCCGCAGGCGGAGGTGACCGTCGCGAGGAAACCACAGGTCGAGAAGCCACAGGAGGAGGAGGAGGAGGAGGAGGAGGAGGAGGAGGAGGAGGAGGAGGAGGAGGAGGAGGAGGAGGAGGAGGAGGGGAGGAGGAGGAGGGAGGAGGAGGGGAGGAGGAGGAGGAGGGGGAGGAGGAGGAGGGAGGAGGAGGAGGAGGAGGAGGAGGAGGAGGAGGAGGAGGAGGAGGAGGAGGAGGAGGAGGAGGAGGAGGAGGAGGAGGAGGAGGAGGAGGAGGAGGAGGAGGAGGCGGAGGCGAGGAGGAGGAGGAGGAGGAGGAGGAGTAGGAGGGAGGAGGAGGAGGAGGAGGAGGAGGAGGCGGAGGAGGAGGAGGAGGAGGAGGAGGAGGAGGAGGTAGGAGGGGAGGAGGAGGAGGAGGAGGAGGAGGAGGAGGAGGAGAGGAGGAGGAGGAGGGAGGGAGGAGGAGGAGGAGGAGGAGGAGGAGGAGGAGTGGAGGAGGAGGAGTAGGAGGAGGAGGAGGGCGGAGGAGGAGGAGGAGGAGGAGGAGGAGGAGGAGGAGGAGGAGGAGGAGGAGGAGGACGGAGGAGGAGGAGGAGGAGGAGGAGAGGAGGAGGAGGAGGAGGAGGAGGAGGAGGAGGGAGGGGAGGAGAGTGAGGAGGAGGAGGGGGGAGGAGGTAAGGCGGAGGAGGAGGAGGAGGAGGGGGAGGAAGGAGGAAGGGAGGAGGAGGGAGGAGGAGGGAGGAGGAGGAGGAGGATGAGGAGGGAGGAGGAGGAGGGGAGGAAGGAGGAGGAGGAGGGAGGGAGGAGGGTGAGTGGGGAGGGGGGGGGGGAGGAGGATGAGAGGAGGAGAGGGGGAGGAGGAGGAGGAGGAGGAGGAGGAGGAGGAGGAGGAACCACAGGTTGATCCGTCGGAGGGGGCGGCAGCGGCAACGCTCGTGGCGGCAGCGCTGGCGGTGGCGGCGGCACCAGCGCCGCGGGTGGCGGCGCCGTGGGTGGCGGCGACGTCGGCCCCCAGACATGCTGTCGGTGCCCCCGGATGTCGCGACCTTTTTCGCCAGGGCCGGTTTTCCATCCTGAGCCGTTGTTGGACGGCCCCACGGCCTACCACCTACCCCGAAAAGCGTCCAAGTACCTCTTGTCAGGTTTTTGCTCACGGCACGGGCGCGTCTGGGGACGGAGCCGCAGGTAGAGGTAGCCGAAGACCAGGCCCGCTGGCAGGAGGAGTGCGGTGCAGTGTGGGCGGCATTTGCAGGCCCAGGGCGGTTCCCAGGAGCTTGCTCGGAGCGCAGCGCTGGCGACTGGCTTCAGAGGAGGACGAGGACGAGAAGGAGTAGGAGCAGGAGGGGGACTACGACCACGTTGGCCGCGACGACCACGACTAGGGAAGAGGGAAGAGGGAGAAAAGGAGGAAGAGGAGGAGGAGGAGGAGGAGGACGAGGACGAGGACGGGGACGAGGACGAGGACGAGGACGACGAGGAGGAGGAGGAGGAGGAGGAGACAACGGCGGAGGAGGAGGAGGGAAAGAGGAGAGAGAAGAGAGGCCAGCTCTCGCAATATCTCACATCCTATCCCTCCCTCCCATCCCGTCCCCTATTCGCGGACGCGGGTCATAGCCGACCTGGACTCCACAAATGGCCCCTATCATGACATGCGCAGTCGGACAAGGGGAGCTGCGTGCATTCAGGGAGAGTGAGGAGGAGGTAGAGGAGGAAGAGGGGGTGGCGGTTGATCACAAAAATGAGCAGGAGGAAAATGGGAAACGATGAGGAATGGGGAGGACGATGACGAAGAGCAGCAGCAGGAATTGAAGTGGGAGGAGTGAGAGAAGCAGCGGAGGATGAGACATTAATGAGACGACATCGGTGACAAGTGACTCGGACTTAGATGGAGGATGGGGAGGAGGAGGAGGAGGAAGCGGATGAAAGGCAGGAGGGTGGTGAGGAGAAGGATGAAGAGGAGGAGCAGGAGGAAAATGAGGAGGAGTGAGGAGGAGGAGGAGAAAGAGGAGGAGGAGGAGGAGGAGGAGGAGGAGGAGGAGGAGGATGAGGAGGAGGAGGAGGAGGAGGAGGCGGGAGGCGGAGGAGGAGGGAGGCGGAGGAGGAGGAAGGAGCCCCAACGCCTGCCCGAGGACGCCCAATAGCGACGACGGGCAGGAGATGAAGGTGAAAGGAGGGGGAGAGGAGGAGGAAGAGGAGGACTTCGACGGGACAATATTAGGAGGGGAAGGACGAGGCTGAGAAGGAGGAGGAGAAGGAGGAGGAGGGAGGGGGGTGGAGGAGGTAGAGGAGGGAGGAAGAGGAGGAGGAGAGGAGGAGGAGGAGGAGGAGAGGAGGAAGATGAGGAGAAGAATGAGGAGGAGAAGGAGGAGGAGGCGGAGAAGGAGGAGGAGGAGGAGGAGAAGCAGCAGCAGCAGTAGGAGGAGGAGGAGCAGCAGCAGCAGCCGCAGCAACAGCAACATCTGCAGGAGAAGGATGAAGAGGTTGAGGAGGAGGAGGAGGAGGAGGAGGAGAAGGAGGAGGAGAAAGGGAAGAGGAGGCGCAGGAGGAGGAGGAGGAGGACGACGAGGAGGACGAGGACAACGACGACGATGTGGAAGGCAAAACCTCGAGATGGAGCCGCCCGCCCAAAGGTGCCGCTGCCGCAGCAGCCCGTCGCGATGCTCGGGGCCGTGCCCATGCAGCCGCAGCGGCCGTCCACCGCCCCGACCCGCGCCAGCCTCGGGCCGGCCCCGACGGCCCACGCTCGCGCGAGCGCGCGCGGAGCCCTCGAGTCGGGCGCCCCCGAACAGTGTGGTGACCACACCGCGTGGTGAGCGGGTGAGGCGGTGAGTTTCGGGGACCCCAAACGATGTGGTGACCACACCATTCGGAAGTTTTCGGAAGTTTCTGGACCCCGGGGTGGTTTCCATCAGCTGCGCCTCGGCGAGGGCGTTCCAGGGTTGCCAGAATCATCAAGGACGGCCGCAGGGGAGCCGAGGGCTGGCCCAAAAACCAATTTGGTGACCACAACGCGTGGTGAGTTGGGGTTCCCGCACGGTTTTGGGACTCGGGTCGTTCTCCGAGGACGTCTCGGACGATTGGGCTGCTCAAATGTGCGTTGCAGCCAGTGTGCCGCCACATTACAGCTTCTTCGTTCGTTCGGTATGAACTTGCCAGTTCTTCTTTCAGCGCGATCGGAGTTGGTCAGAGGAGGAAATGGTACCCATACCTCTACCCCTCTACCCGTTTTCCCCTTTTTGGGCCTCCTGGGAGGCCCTCGTCGCCACCGCTGGATTCGCCTTGAAACCCTGGTCAGAACGCACCCCGGTAGAGGTCCGGGGAGTAGCGGTATCAGTACCTCTTGGTCTCCCCAATTGGTACGAAAAAATGGGTGCGATGCCCAACTGCAGTTCCTGCTCATTTTGTACTGGACTCGCTGTCAGCACCGCCGCGGATGTTGTCCATTTGAGGCAGAAGGCCGCCTGTCCAACAGCGGCCGATGTCGGTTTGGGACAACATGAGCTGTTGGGCATCGTACCCATTTTTCCGTACCCATCTCGGGGCCAAATCCTTGCAGAGGACAATTGCGTAGTTATCGGCATTGCGCGATCGTCCCACCTCTCTCCTGCCCCTCGTTTTTCTCCCCCCTCCCCCCAAATCAAGCAGTTGCGAAACGTCCAAGCTTGCCTGTAGGCCAACCAAGAATGTTATTCGAATCTCCTGTGATGTTTCACGACGTGCGGAGACTGCCTTGTTTGAATGCATCGGCCTCCTCTTCTGAGAACAGCGCTTTGGTTCTGAACATATCGTGGTAGACCTATACAGTCCGAGGCGGAGATTTACGCATGACCACCGCCCGGAGGATCATTTTTCGGCAACTTCGACAGGCGGTGTATACGGTTAGATTCGAGGCCCCGGGGGCCCAAATACATCCATATCTAACGCCCGCTGGGGCACCAGGACGTCGGCTCCCAGGCGGTGGATATGGATCAATCCCCGCCTCGCATATGGGAATGCTGGGACGGTTGGTCTCTTCTCAACCAGAGAGAAAAAAACCTGCCTCGTCCCCAGACATCCGCCGATCTGAGTTTTCTCAATCCGAGGTCCCCAGAGGTCCACGACCCCTTCCCCGGTGCTTGTTTTTCGGCCCGAGTCCGTTCATGATGGTCATGGGCCCGATAGCGGGCCCCAGACGCAGAAAAACTATGAAACACCGCCGGATCGCAGAAAATCTATGAAACACCGCTGGTCATGGGCCCGACGACGGGCCCCGGACGCCGACATCCATGAGAAACCGCCGGATTGAAGAGAGATCAGGTCAGGTCCTCGGCTCGTTGGGTCGCTCGTTCGCTCGCCTGGGCGCAGCTGGGGCCGCCGAGGCCCGGTGGTGGTGCGGCGCAACATCCAGGCCGTCCAGGTGGTCCACGCGGCGCCGCCGCAAGGGGCCTCCGCGGGCGCCGTCGAGGTGCCCCCCCCGCGGGGCCCAAAGGTATACACTTGCACCACCACCTCCTCCTCCTCCTCCTTTTCCTCCCCCTCTTGCTCTCCTCCTCGTCCCCCTCCTCCTCCTCCTCCTCCTTCTCCTCCTCCTCCTCCTCCTCCTCCTCCTCCTCATCCTCCTCCGCCTCCTCATCCTCCTCCTCCTCTTCCTCCTCCTCCTCCCCCTTCCTTCCCTCCCTTCCTCCTCGTTTTTCCTCCTTTCTCCTCCTCCTGGGTTGGGTTAGGTGGAGCCGCGTTTGCATCGGCAACGCTTTGGGCATGGCCTGAAGGTCGGTTGCTGGCTGATTCAGCTCGCCTGACTTAGTTCACCCCGAAGCGAATGTCCTCCTCCTCCTCCCCCTCCTCCTCCTCCTCCTCCTCCTCCTCCCTTCCCTCCTCCTCCTCCTCCTCCTCCTTCTCCTCCTCCTCCTCCTCCTCCTCATCCTCATCATCCTCATTCTCCCTCATCCCCTCCCTCTCCCAGGAAAGAGGGGAGGAAGACGAGGGTGGAGGAGGGAGGAGGAATCGACGTGGTGGTGGTGGTGGTGCATATGTTTGGGGCCCGCACCCCCGGTTTCTAGGGCGCCGCCGCCGCTGTCGCCGACCACGGCGACGGCGACGACGGCGGCGACGACGACGCCGACCACGACGGCGGCGGTGACGACGGCGGCGACGAAGGCGATGCCGACGCGGACGCCTACTTCGACGCCGGCGACGCCGCCTAGGACGTCGACGCCGACGAGGACGGCGTCGACGCCGACGGCCCGAGGAGCTGCGGCCCGCCGCGCCTACGCCGCACAGGGCGGTGGCGCGAGGGGAGCAGCAAGGGGGCTTCTCACAAGGAAAAGCGCTTCTCGGAAGCCTAGGCCCTGGCCTTCCGAAGGGGCCGTCTTGGCAGCTCCCAGGCCTCTGCCTCAGAGGAGGGAAAAGGCTACCCATACCGCTACCCCTCTACCCGTTCTCTCCTTTTTGTTGGCCTCCTGGGAGGCCCTCGTCGCCACCGCTGGATTCGCCTCGAAATTCTGGTAAGGACGCACCCCGGGAGAGGTCCGGGGAGTAGCGGTATCGGTACCTTTTGGTTTCCCCACTGTCTAAGAAGGCTTGTGCCTTCTAAGAGAACCGCCGCCATCTCTGTAGTAGAAACCCACCCCGCTTGCGCAACCCCGCTGGGGGCGCCTTGAAGCGCCGCCGACGATGGATATGGCGACGACGATTCCGGCGACGACGTCGACGACAACGCCGACGTCGACGCCGACGCCGACAACGACGACCACGACCACGACCACGACCACGACGACGACGACGACGACGACGACGACGACGACGACGAAGACGACGACGACGACGACGACGGCGGCTCAATGGCTCTCGCTAGCCCGCCACAAAAACATACCCACGGATCGGGGAAACGTAAGACACGAGTAAGCCAGAACTCGCGTTTGCCGACGTTTTTTGACGAACGCGTCCTGGATTTTGACGGTCCAGTTTTCGTGGGATGTTTGCAGCGGGAGCTCGCGTCAAATTTCAGATTGGGTCTCGTCATGTTTACGATGGCCCCGTCAGGCCAACCCGAGTCCCCCGTACCCAAGTCTTAGGTCTTCCCGAACAGACACCCTCCAATGGATTGTTCCTGGGCCTCTTGGGGAAGGGTGGCGATTTATGAAAATCACAACTGAGAGCCAGCGACTTTATACACTGCCGCCCTCCCTGAAGGTACATGCACAGTTCGGGGGAGGGCGTCGTCTTATACGGTCAACACTGATAGTAAGGATGATCGACTTCAAAAGGGCACCCTTGCATCCTTGCCTCTTCGGTCATCTTCGGTCCATCCTCAACCACTTTCGATGGCCAGCTCCGATCGGGAAGCTTCAGCACAGGCATCCAAGGGGTTTGCATCCTCACTGCGCATCCTTCTGATGACCTCGTCACCTCGTCCCAGGTGCGAAAATGTGCGAGCATTATACGCATCTTCGTAGATTCGAATGGACACTCAACTTGGAGGTACATCAATTCTGTAGTCGACCATCTACCAGAATTATCAGTTCAGACTGTATATGTATATATATATATATAGGTATGCCTATAAATCTTTCTTTCTCTCTCTCTCTCTCTCTTTTCGTGGTGCCGACGACGGCCACGACGCCGCCGCGGCCGACGACGACGCCGACGCCGCCGCAGACGACGGCGGCGACGACGACGACGTCGGCTCCGTGGCGCCCGCCAGGTGCTGCCGCTCGCCGCGCCCACGCCGGGGAGCGGCGAGGCCGCCGAGGCCGCGCCGAGAGCGCCCGCGCGGTGCTTCCCGCGGGAGTGAGAGAGCACCCGCCGCGGGCCGCCTCCCGCGCCGGCTCCGCGCCGTCGTCGCGCAGAGGCGAGGCGTCCTGGCTCGCCTATAGGGGCCCACCATTCTGCTGCTCCCGTCGTGCTTCCTGGCATCGCTCGGACGCGTGTATTTTTTCCTCGGCGAGGACCCTCGAGGAGCATCCTTGATCATTGAAGCACGCACGAGACCGAAACAAGCACAGGGAACGGACGCCCGAGCGATGGCCCGACTTAGGGACCACATCCCAGACATGATCTCGAGCACGCAGAGAAGAATCGAGGCCGTGTCGAACGCGTATCGCCTCCCAGGGCCCGACACGTGAAAGCCCTCGAGTCTTGGTTTTCTCTTGGTGCTCGGAATTCTTTCTGGTGCTCAGGGCTAAAGTAGGTTGGAACATCCTCAGTCCACCAAAGAATGGTCTAAGAATCCGCGGGAGTGAGCACCCGCCGCGGGCCGCCACCGCGCTGGCTCCGCGCCGTCGTCACGCAGTGGCGAGGCGTCCTGGCTCGCCTACAGTGGAGGCCCATGCCACGAAGCACCCTGCCTGCCTCAATGTCGTTTTCTTATTATTGTTTTGCGGATCGGCGCGGGCCCTCGCACCCCCCCCTCCTCCTCCATGGAGTAGATCTTGGCTGCTCTTGGCGCCTGCTGAAAGCAGGCGGAGTCTCCCCTACAGGACGCACTGTTTGCAAACAGTCGCACTAAGCAGAGGTCCAGAGACAGACCTCCCCCCCTCCCCCCCTTTCCGCCCAATGTCGAAACGCCGAATAAGAATCGCTCACCTCCAGGGTGCCCTCGGTTTCTTAGGTTTCGATGGTTCTGCGTTGGGAAGCGTGACGCTCCCACACCAAAAATCGATGGACGTCCTGAGGTCTCAGGGTTAGGTTTCTTGTGGAATGTTTCTTGTTGTCGGGCCCCCACTGTAGAGGCCCACCAAAGAGTGTTCTAAGAACTGCTTGTGGTATGCACGAAATGTTCTCAGAACGCTTCTGGCTGGGATTTGTCTTGTTTCGGCACATCGGTTTTTAGTTCTGAGAACGTTCTTTTTGTTATTAGAACATCTGGGGTATCTAAGAACATGTCGTGGTAATTAGGCCTATAGGAATGCCGGGACGGTCGGTCCCTGCTCAAGTTTCTCCTCCCAATCTTCGGGGGGCCTTCACTGTCCTGAAGCTGGCAGACTTTTCTTGCACTCCGATGCGGGTTCTGCACTGATCCGACGTGGATTCGACACGGCTTTGACATGGATTCGACACGGATGCGACATGGATCCGACACGGATGGCGGGCGCGATAGGAGGGGAGGGGGATGTATCCATCTCGCTACCCTTTCACCAGGCCTCGGGACTGTCAACAAAACAACTCGTGACGTAAAACCGGTCCCGGGGAAGGGGTCAGACCTCTGGGGGTCGACGTCGAGAAAAAACACGACGTCGGGGGTCTGGGAAATGCAGGGCACCCCCAGGGGGCTAGTAAGGCGCACGCCTGTATCGAGGACAAGCGCCATCCATCGTATATCCCAGGGTTTGGCCTCAAATTTCTGATCCCTCCGAAAGCCCCACGAAGCTTGGGATAGGGGTCGACATATCCCTTGCCAGAGAGAGATCTGCGCGGACCTCCGCGCTTGTCTCTGTGCCTGTGCCGCGTGGCTGCCTCCTCTGTGCCAGTTCCCGCGCGCCTGCGCACCCAGACCCCCATCGGGCCATGCAGACACCACGACGGGAGGTTTCTCGCCATTTCCGGTCTCTGGGGGCCTTCGCCGGGCCCCGGGGCCGTCAACCATCGATTCAGGAGCTTGTTTGGTTTGGTGATTCCGGGAAGTTTACTTGCATGGACGGGGGAGGGGGGGGGCTGACCTCGAAGCAAGCCGCAAACGATTTGCACGTGCGGAAACCACGCAGGCCGAAAAAAGGCGCTTGCACGCCAGTGCTCGTTTGAAGAGGGGCGAGGGAGGGGGTGGGGATGGGGGGGAGGCGAACGCCATGCAAGCAAACTTGCTTGCAAGATAAACAGGCTCCAGGGTGAAGAACGGGCCCTGGGGAATGGATCGGGACCTCTCGGGGCCGACCCGGTGGAAAATCATGGCGCTGGGGGTCCGGGCATGGAGCGCTGGCCACTCGCTCGCGTGCGGTCGCCGCGGGCGTGCACGTTGGTGCACGTCCCCGCCCTCACGCCGCGTCCTCTCTCCGCCCGCCACGTCCTCCTCGTCCTCGCGCTCTCCTCGCCTTCCCTCGTCCTCGTTCGGTTCCTCGCTCCGCTGTCTTCTCGCCCTCCTCGGCCGCTTTCCCCTCGACTTCAGCACTAACAAACACGAGAGGGGTACGGCTTGATTATGGGTCTGTCTTGTTTGTTTTTCTGTTTTGTTTATGCGCGCGTGCGTTTTCCATTGGGCGCCGCCGCCGCCGCCTGGCCTCGCTCTGAGCGGGCCGGGCTTCCTCCTCCCGCCGGGCGTTCCTCCTCTCTCCCCCGCGCATTGCGGCTCAATGCGCATTTGTGTGTGTTCTACCTATGCTCTTCCTCCAGCGCAGTCACTCTGCCTAGCCGCCCTGGCCCGGTCTGCCGCTGGGCGCGTCGGGGCTTGGCGCTGGGGCGTAGGCCTCTTCGCTGGGCCCCTGGGGGCTGGGCGTGGGTCTCGGGATTCCTCTTGGCGCGCACGTCGCCTCGTGCGCGGCCCCCCCACCCCACCCCCCGCATTCCCCAGAGATCCAACGTGTTGAAAAAATCAAGGCGGAGGTTTGCCGCAAGGTTCGGCCCCGAGGGCCTGGAGGGACCGTCAGAAAACTGCTCGGGATGAAAAGCCGGTCCAGGGGAATGGGTCGAGACCTCCAGGGTTCGACGCAATCGGGGGCGGCAAAGATGGGGGGTGAGGACTACCGGGGGTGGATCTCATGGCGGCGGCGATGATCTCTTCCAAGAGCTCATGGCGCCTCTTCTCATTGCATCACGTCCCGGGCCCCCCCCCCCGGGGCCGCGCACGTGCCGCCGCCCATGCTCTGCGCCCACCCCTCTTGGACGCCCCCCCCTCGGCCGCCCCCGACGCACTTCAGAAATCATGGCGTCGGGGGTCGCTGGGTGCGCGGGCGCGTCGCCCCGTGCGCGGCCCGCTCCCCCCGCGACTCGTGCGCTGGGCCCCGGCGGCGCGGCGAGGGGCCTCCGGGAGCGACTCGCCTCCTCGGTGCCCTCTCTCGGGGCCCTGCCGCCCCCCCCTTGCGTGGTCTCTCGGGTGCGTGCGCCTCCTCATGTTGGCGCCCTGCGGGGCCGTCGTCGTCGAGCTCTTCCCCTCCTCGTATCGCCCGACGGAGGGGGAGGAGGAGGAGGAGGAGGAGGGGGTGGAGGAGGAGGAGGAGGAGGAGGAGGAGGAGGAGGAGGAGGAGGGGGAGGAGGAGTAGGAGGAGGGGGAGGAGGAGGAGGAGGAGGAGCAGGAGGAGGAGGATGAGGAGGAGGAGGGGAGGAGGAGGAGGAGGAGGGAAGGAGGAGGAGGAGGACCTGAGTTGTTCAGTCCGTCGGTGTTTCCCGGACTTCGCCCCCCTGGTCCCGGCCATCGGGCCCCGGGGACATCAGGAATGGATCCGGGACGAAGGACCACCACCGCGGATGGAACAAATCGGATCGGCGGATATTTGGACCCTTGCTCTCCTCGTCATCCTCGTTGGAAGATCTCTGGGCGTCGTGAAGAGAGGTGCGGTCAGCGATCTGTGCCGCTCTTGCGCAGGCCTTCCGCCTATATCTCCGCCGAGCCTGAGAAGCGAGCAGCTTTGGCGCAAGAGGCAGAAGGGGGACGAGGTCAAAGGGCAGTGGTGGTTTGGGTGCGAGGGTGAGAATCTGATGGTCTCTGGTCCATCCCGCCATTACGCCTGGGTCGTGTGCCAGAGGCATTGGGGACATTCGAGGAGCTTTGGGGACGCTTCTAGGGGGCTTCTGGGTGCCTTCATGGCCCACTTGGGTGTGGCTGGGGGCCTCTTATGGCCCTCGTGGGTTTTCTGGAATCATCTTGCAGAGGATGGCTCCAAAGAGTGCCATGGGGGCGCGCTTTTTGGACCTTCTTGGCAGGGCCCTCTTGGGAGGCCCTTGGGCCATCTTGCCATCTTGGGTCAGGTCGGGGATGTACTTGGGCCGCCTTGGTCGCTCTTGCGCCACCGAGGCGGCGAGAGTGTTAAAGAGTCTCTCTCCAGCTGGCCTCCCGGGCCTCCAAGGCGTCTTGCGTGACTCCCGAGGGTGCCGAAGCTGGCCGATGCTGGCCCCGAGGAGGCTCTACCCCGGCGGCGAGCGAGGGGGGGAAGTGCGAAGGAGAAATCAGCGGGACTTCTCAGAAGCCCTCGAGCTCTCTGAGGGATTTCCTACGTCTCTGGAGAAGGCTCGGAACACTTCTTCGAAGGCCGGGGGATTCCGTAGCTTTCTGAGAAGGCCCGCCCCTTCTCCTTTCCCCCCCCCTCCCCCGGGCCTCGCCGCCGACCAACTGGTTCAGGTGGTTCAAAGTAGCCAACAGAGGCCCCCGAGTATCGTCCCGAGGCACTGCAGTGAGAGGAAGGGCGCCCCCTCCGCGCCCCCCTGACTGTAGTCAGGGACCCTCCCCTCCGACTCCCCCCCCTCCTCTCTGCGGCAACCTAGCCGCAGGACACCTTCCATGGGACCGCGGCCCCCCGGACCGCTCCGTGGGAGGAGGGGTTCCCCCCCCCCCCCTCCCCACCTCCCTCCCCCCCCCGCTACTCTCCCGCCCCCCGCCCCCCCTTCCCCCCTCCCGCCACCCTCCCTCCTCCCCCGTTCCCCCTCCCCCCCCCCCCCCCGCCCCCCCCCCTCCCCCCCCCCCATCACCCCCCCGCCCCCCCCCCCCCCCCCTCGCTCCCCCACAACCCCCCCCCACCCCTCCCCCCCTCCCTGGCGGGGGACGGATCCAAGGGAAGAGCTTCTTTCGACTCGATTGCGACCTGGGTCGAGTTCGCCTGGGGACCCTGGAGGGTCCCAGGTGGCCGCAGGGAAAGGGGGCAGAGCTTCCAACGGAAAAGCGACTCACAGGACCACCCTTAGGTCGGGCCTGTCTTTTTACAGGCTGAACTTCGAGGATCAATGCACTATATTGAACAAATACAAAACATCAAACATACTAGAAACATCGTCCCCAGACGATGTTTTAAACTATTTCCTAATATTCTTCATATAGAGGGACGTGCCCGACTTAGGACCACCCCAGAATGACCACCCCAAGCCTCCCCCGCACGTTTTTGTTGTTGCTGGCGGCGACGTGGGATCCGAAGCGTCAGGCAGCCCCCCCCTCACCAACGCCGACACGGCGGGCGGACCCCTCCAACAACAAGCATACGACTAAATCGGGCGTGTCCCTCTACAGGTGGAATGTTCAAGAATAGTCCAAACTTAGTCTGGGGACGACTGTTCGATTATGTTTTGACTATGTTTTGCATTATCGGGCTATTTTGCATTTTTCGTCCAAAATCCGCCTGTATGGGGAACCTGCCCGACTTAAACATACTTGAAGAACGCGGGCTTGGGGGTGGAGGTGGGGAGTTTCCCGAAGGACCACTCTTTCTCACATCTTATTCGCGTCCCTAGACCCTATCGGGAAATGAAACAAAACATGACGGGAGGTTGTTGTTGATATTTTGCGGCCTCTGGGGGCCTTTCCCAGCCCTCAGGACCGTCAAAAAACGTCGTGATGAAAAACCGATCCAGGGAAGTGGGTCGAGACCTCAAGGGTTCGACGCAATGGACAAGTCATGACGTCGGGGGTCTGCGATGTCGGCTTCATTCTTTTTCTCCCGTCTTGCTCTTCCCTCCTCCGCCTCCTCTCCCTGGAGGGTTTCTCCGAAGGGCTTATGTTAGGGCGAGACCCGTTCCTCCTCCTCCTCCTCCTACTCTTCCTCTCCTCCCAGTACCCCTCTTCTCTCCTTCCTCCTTCCTCCTCCTCCTCCTCCTCCTCCCTCCCTCCCTCCCTCCTCCCTCCCTCCCTCATCTCCTCCTCCTCCTCACGCCTCCTCCTCCTCCTCCTCCTGCCCTCCTCCTCCTCCTCCTCCTCCTCCTCCTCCTCCTCCTCCTCCTTCTCCTCCTTATCCTCCTCCTCGTGTCGCCTAGGGCCCCAGGGGAAACCTCTTCCCCGTCGACTGCTTCTTTCCTCGCCGGTCGTGCGATTCGAGCAGACGGCGACCCATGCCAGTGGAGCCTGCCGCGCCGTGCGCGCGGGCCGAGTTTCACAGCCGCTTTTCTCGCCCCGCCCCTGCGGCGTGCGCTGGCCGCCCCGCTGCCTTCCTGCTTTGGGAGGCGAGGCGCACGTTTCCTCGAGCATGTTCGGCGGTCTCCGGCAGTCCCGCCACCGTGCCAGCGCAGCCTCTCGGGTGGCAGTTGCTCGAGAAGGGGAGGGGGCCTACTTGGGGGTCTTACCTCGGGGTGGGAGGCTCCAGCTCTGGGTTCCTCTTCCCGCTCTTGGGCCCTTCTTGGGGCCGTCTTGGGGCCCTCTAGGGCAGTCGTGGGTGCCTCTTGGGCTGTCTTGGAGCCCTCTTGGGCCGTCTGGGAGCTCTATCGGGAGCCTCTTGAGCAGTCGTGATGGAGTCTTGAGGGCCTTCTGGGACGCATGAAAGTGTCGGAAGCTCGAAAAGTCGAAAACTTCAAGGCATTGAACAAGCTACTGAAAAACAATTGTTCTTCCCTGCTGGGGCCTCTTGGGTGGGCGTTTTTCGGCCTTCTTGGGACCTCCTGGGCCCTCTTTGCGCTGAAGGCTCGAATTGTTGGTTCGTTGTCACCATCTCCATCTTGGGCCCTTCTTTGGGCTGTCTTGGGGCCCGTTTGGGCATTATTGTGCGCCTCTTGAGCCGTCTTGGACCTATCTTGGGCCGTCTTGGGGCTCTCTTGGGGGCTTCTTGAGCCGTCTTAGGAAGTTGGAAGCTCGAAAAGGCGAGAACCCGAAACACAATGAATGGAACATCCAGGCTTTCTTGGGAAGACTCTTCGGGCTTTTTTCGGACGCCTCGACGGCCTCGTGGGGCGCCTTGGAGCGACCTTGGGTCGTCTTGGGGCCAGCGTGGCCCGTCTTGGAGCGCTGTGCGCCGTCCTGGAGGCATCTGGGCCTCGGGAGCGCGAATCTGTACATCTTGTTGCGAGGGAGCCTGGCCTCGGGAAGAGGGTGCGAGGCATGCAGCTGGGTGCGTCGAGACGGGGGCCCGCGGGCCCTCGAGGATGTGACAGAAGTTCGACGAGGCAGACCTCAGCATTCTTCCGCGCCTTGATGTGCACAAGGCACGGTGGCGGATACGTGCAGATGCGCCGAGTGACAGGGATGAGGAGGAGAAGGAGGAGGAGGAGGGGGGGGCAGGAGGAGGACGTGAAGTAGAATTCGGGGAGGAGGGCTAGGCCTTGGAATGCCCTTCGACTATTCGGTCAGCCATCACCTGGCCAGCGCGAACTGCACCGCGGATTGCTCTTGGAAGACACGCTTGAAGGCGAAGGCTGACGCGCACTTCAAAACAGTGGGGTGACGCACTCTCGTGAGGCGATCCATCATTCGTGCGGTTCTGGGGCATCCCGCTTCTTTCAAATCCTTTCGCCGCGGTCTCACCGACTCAGGGAAATGCCATCTTCATAAGTGTCGCGCACATGTGCCATGGCGTGTTCGCGGCGCCCGAGAGATGAGCAATCACTATAGCAAGGTCCTCTGGTCATGACTCCCCTCCTGGTGGCCAGATTGGAGTGCTGTTTATCCAGCTGCTCGCGCGGCAAGACTCGCCACCGTGCCAGAGCCTGTTTTTTTGTTACTAGACTCCGGCATGTTTACTTGCATTGACGGGGGGGGCTTGAACCTGAAGCAGGCCGCAAGCGATTTGCACGTGCGAAAATCACGCAAGTCAGAAAGCACTTGCACGCCAGTGCTCGTCTGAAGAGGGGGAGGGGGCGAGGGGGGGGGTCGAACGCCGTACAAGAAAACTTGCCTGAGTCTAACCCAAGCCCCCGACGTCATGATTTTTTCAGAACGTCGACCCCCAGAGGTCTCGACCCACCGCCCAGGCCCGGTTGTTCGTCCTGAGTCGTGTTGTCGACGGCCCTGAGGCCCGGTGACGGCCCCCAGAGTCCGACAATCGTGAAAATCGTCCCCCATCGTGATTTTTGTCACAACACGAGGGGGCCTGGGAAAGACGGGCTCACACCTTGCCACCGTGCCGGCGCTGCATCGAGGCAGGCTCGAGCTCTCTGCTGGCACCCCCACGGGCCCCCGCTGTGCCCCCGGGGGCGCTCTCGTCTGTGCGGGCCAGCCTCGGGGGCGCTACACTATACGGTCCTGCCGAGGGGCTCTCTCTCCCTGGGCTGGTTCGAAGGAGGAGGAGGAAGAGGAAGCGGAAGCGGAAGAGGAGGAGGAGGAGGAGGAGGAGGAGGATTACCAGAGTAAACCCAAGAGTCGCCAACGATGTTGGAAGAAGCCATCCCCCCAAGCTCCCTCTTCACAGGCCCCATACAACGGGTCATTTCCACAGAGGGACCTGCCTCGTGGGAAGACGACCGCCTGAGGACCCTGAGGCATGCTGAAACCTTCCCCCTCCCGGGGCCCTTGCCGGGCCACGGGGGCGTCAAACAAAAATCGGTTCAGGATGAAAAACCAGCCCCGGGGAAGGAGGAGGAGAAGGAGGAGGAGGAGGAGGAGTAGGAGGAGGAGGCGGACGCGGATGGCGGAGGCGGAGGAGGAGGAGGAGGAGGAGGAGGAGGAGGAGGAGGAGGAGGAGGAGGAGGAGGAGGAGGAGGAGGAGGAGGGTCGACGTGGCGGCAAACTTCACGACGCCGGAGGTCTGGGGGTGGAGGGCGGCGGCCAGTGGCCAGCCCTGCTGGGTGATCGGGCCGGGCAGCGCGCACCCTCTCGGGGCAGCCCCCCCCGCCCGCCTCGCCCCTCGGGGTGGCGCTGCTCCAGCGCTGCCGCGGCTGCAGGAGTGACGAACGAACAACACACACCCATACCCATGTGGAGGTCGGAGGGAGAAGGACTGGCTATGGGTATGGGTGCGGGTTGTCGGACCCCTGAGGAGGCTATCGTTCGAGCGGGGACCCCTATCCGACAACACGCACCCATAGCTCATTCCGTCTCCCCTATGGGTATGGGTGCGCGTTGATCGTTCGTCAAGGAGGGGATGGCACGAGGCGAGGAAGCGAAGCGACAGGGGAGCCGGGAGAGCTCGCATCAGCTGCACGGCGGGTCGTCTCTCGAAGCCGGTGGGATAGAAGGGGCTTGTGCGCGAAGGTCGGTCCGACAGCAGCTGTAAGAGGGCTGAGTCCTCGGGCCTGTGTCAAGCTCCGTTATCACGCATATACGCTACCACGTTACGGAATTTAAGTGGATTTTCCTCCGTGGTGTCCAGCGGTGCCCCGTGATGGTCCGTGTTATCCAATTTCGTTATGCGGTTGCTTTGCCGTGCCAGCTCAAGGTATGTCTAAATCACGACGGCGGCGTCACCTTAGTCTCCAATGTTTGCGCGTTGATCTGGATCCTACCGTTGCTTCGGCTGGGCGCGGCTCGAAACTATTGGCCCTACGGTCAAGGCCTCCGGGCTCGCTCAAACATGGCGCGTTCCGCCCTCAGGAGACAGCCGCGGCTTCGCGAAGCGAAGGGAGGCCTGACGCCAGAATGCAGGAGCAAGACGTGCCGGAGGTGCGCACGCAGAAGCCAGAGAGAGAGAGAGAGGGAGAGAGAGAACGCGGGTGCCCCCTCGGAAAGCACGCAGGCAGAGATGCGCGCACGCGCTGCCCCTACGGTCGGGCGGGCAGAGCTGGTGCTGGCATCTTCGCTCGCAAGCTATAGCCCACCGGACGCTCGCGCGCACGCGCAGGCGCGAGCGCACGCGCAGGATGAAAACACGCCAGGCTCGCGCCGCGTCGACCGGCGGCGACCCCGCCGGCGGCGCTCCGCTTTGGAACGCCGCGGGCGACCCAGAACCGCTCGACGCGTCACGATTACGATTTGGAGGTTTCGGAGATGGCCGCTCGTTCAAGGTCGAAGGGTCCCCGTGGGCCCCGCGGTGTCAGGAACCAGCGCCTGGGTCAGCACGACGCAGACCTGCCGCAGGGGGGCTTGGGCGCGGGACCGGGCCCGGGCTCGGTCACAAGGGCTCGCGCTGGGGCTCGTGGTCGGGCTCCGGCTCCGCGCTTCGCGCCCGCGCAAGGCGCGCGCACGCACGCGCGCGCACGCACGCGCGCGTGCAGGCGCGCGCACGCGCGCGCACGCGCACGCTCGCGGCCCACGCGCGAGCTGTCCCCAATCTGAAACCCCCGCCCCCGTGCCCCGTCCCCCCCCCTGCCCTCCACCTCGTCCTCCTCCTTCCTCCTCCTTCCTCCTCCTCCTTCTCCTCCTCATCCTCCTCCTTCTTCTCCTCCTCCTTCTTCTCCTCCTTCTCCTCCTCCTCCTCCTCCTCCTCCCTCTCTTCCTCCCCTCTCCTTCCTCCTCCTCCTCCTCCTCCTCCTCCTCCTCCCTCCTCCTCCTCCTCCTCCTCCTTCTCCTCCTCCTCTACCCTGTCTTGTCAAAGCCCAGACGGGATGCGGCTCCAGCGCCCCACTCGCTCTTGGGCAACATGGCTCCAGCAGCTCATGGCGACTCGAAGGGCGGGTTCCTTCACCCAATTGTTACGACGGGGCGGTGGCTCAACCAGCCCACGGCGGGGCTTCCAGCATTCTTCTGGACACGGAAAAGTCGTTTCAGCAGGTTCTGCCGACAGGAAGAGTGGGATACCATCTGAAAGGGCAGCTAGAGGCTAGAGCGACCCGCGCCCCAGCCACGAACCTACCTACAGTTCGGCAAGCATGTCATGTGCAAGCTATTCACCTAACTGGCTGGTCAGGGGAATCTTGAGAGTCGTGTTTTTTATTGCAAGCGCACGCGCACGCACGCGCACACGCGCGCGCACGCGCATGCCCACGCGCACGCGCTCAGGATCGGGACGCTCGGGCTCGGGCCTGGGCTGGGGCGCGGTCTCAAGCTCGGCGCTCGGGCTCGGACCCAGGGTCGCGCTCGCACTCGGGCTCGCGCTGGCATCCGAGCCTGCGAGCGCGCACACGCTCGCGCGCACGCGCACGGACACGCGCACGTCCTTCGAGCGTTCGCGGGCGGGGCCAGCCCCCACGCTGCAAAAGATTAGCCCGGCAAAGGGCCCAACCACCTGCAGTTGTGGGTACCGTCGGTGTGCCGACATGTGGCGGGACCGCCATGCGGGCGCTGCCACTGGGGCCTGAGGTGGAGTTCCCTATGGGGTCACGACACGTGTGAGGGGTCAGCGAAAATGGAAGGTGGAACCGAATGCGGGCGCTGCCATTGGGGCCTTAGGTGGGGCCCTCTATGGGGCCACGAAACGTATGATAGGGGTGCACCGAAATGGGGGTGGAGCCGCATGCGGGCGCTGCCACTGAGGCCTTCGGTGGAGCTCCCGATGAGGCCACGGAACTTGCGCGGGATTCGGCGAAATGGAGGGTGGAATCGCATGCGGGCGCTGCCACTGGGGCCCCAGGTGCCTCCTCCTCTTCCTCCTTCTCCTCCTCCTCCTCCTCCTCCTCCTCCTTTCCTCCTCGCCCCTCCTCCCTCCTCCTCCTCTCCTCCTCCTCCTCCTCCTCCTCCTCCTCCTCCTCCTCCTCTCCTCCGCCTCCCTCTCTTCCTCCTCCGCACCCCTCCTCCGCCCCCTCACCCCTCCTCCTCCTCCTATTTCTCCTCCGCCTCCTCCTCCTCCTCCCTCCTCCTCCTCCTCCTCCTTCCGTTTCTCCTCCTCCTCCTTCTCCTCCTCCTCCTCCTTCTCCTCCTCCTCCTCCTCCTCCTCCTCCTCCTCCTCACTCTTCCTTCTCCGCCCCCTCCTTTGCCCCCACCTCCTCCTCCTCCTCCTCCGCCTCCTCCTCCGCCTCATCATCATCCGCCCCCCCCCGAATCCATGCGGTGTTTTTTCCTGGATCTCGGCAACCAGTGCTCTTTGTCCTAGGCCTCCTCGATGGGGTCCGAGCAGATGGGGTCAGAGAACCCAGAACTTGTTGTGTGTCCCCGGGCCCCCTCGAATAAATCGGCCGATGTCTGGGCGCGAGTGGTTGGCCGGCGAGGCCACGCGCCCGTACGCGCATACGAACACGCACACTCACACGCGTGTGTGCACGCGCGGACGCGCACGCGAACAGCCCCCGTTGGAGTGCGAGGCGCGGCTGCAGTCCAGGACCTCCCCCTCCCCCAGCCCGATTCAGATCTGCCAGATTCTAGACAGGGTTCGGTTCGCGCGCCCACTGGTTCTCAGGGAAAGTGGATCCAGCAGCTCCTGCCGTCAGGAAGGGAGGTGGATTCCAGCATCCAATGATTATGAGGGACAGTGGCTCAATGAGCCCATTGCGTGGCTTGCAGCACCCAATTCGGCGAGGGAAAGTCGCTCCACCAGGTTATGCTGATAAGAAGGACGGACTGTCGTCTGACAGGGCAGCTAGAGCGACCCGCGACCCTGCCACGAACCAGCCACTGTCAGTCAAAGTTTCCACTAGCAGAGAAATATGTATAGGAGTGATGTAGGGTTTGTGTTTTCGGCGGATGTTGGGGGCTGGGGATAACAAGGCGAATGCATGTTGTAATCAAGTGTCACAGCTAACTACGAATGCTTATACATGAAGGCGACAAGTTCAGCCTGGACCCCAGGCCGAAGCTACAGCCGAGCACACTTCTGTTGCAACTGAATTCAAAACAAGCCTTTCGTAATCACGACAGTCGTGAGACAGTGCGACATGCAGTTGCCACAGACGTCATCCACCCCACCCAGGATCTTCTTCATCTTCCAATGGCCAGCCTATAATGCACAGTTTTCTGGTTTGCGGTGGCTTGCTGTTTACGTATACTTGGTCTTCCAATCGGTCATCCC